ACTTCTAATTCCAGAAGATTTTGACATCCATAAACTGAGAAACACTTCAATTCCCAAATGATAGCCAATCTCACAGCAACTTGGTCAAACCCCAAGCTCTGCATTGCTCCTTAAAAAGGAGATATGCGAAACAACACCAAGGCTAGATGCAAAGAATAAATGAGGCTTTCCGTGTGATAGCTAAGAAAACTCCATTTTGTACCCAAGGAAGATGCCCCTCTAATCAAAAAGAAAGCATGAAACGCCGTGAGCATTCCTTGTTCCTGGTGGCCATGCTTTTAAAGAAGAAAAAATTGTACATGACTCCAAGAACAGTGAGTGGTACTACATGTGTGGTTTTAGTGGGGTAGAGGCAGAAGCATGGCAGCTTCTAAATTCCAGAGTAGGGAGAAGTCCTAGCATTTTCAGGGTTCTGTTGCTACAAAAGAGGTCCTAGATCACCTCTGACATGTTTTTAATGGCCAGATCAGTTCTCAGCCTTTATTCTCTAAGGGTTCAAAGTCTAAACCATAGGACTATAGACACTCCTGTGCTCCTATGTGAGCTCCAAGACACCCATGGCCTTCTTTTTAAAAAATAATTTAATGTATGTACATTGATGTTTTTGTGCATGCATGGCTATGTGAGGGTGTCAGAGGCCCTGGAACTTGAGTTACAGTTGTGAGATGCCATGTGGGTATTGGAAATTAAATCTTGGTCCTCTGGAAGAGTAGCCAGTACTCTAAAATGCTAAGCCATTTCTCAAATCCAAGACTTTGACCTTCTTAGGAAACTAGTTTGAGCCTAGAAGCTAAACCTCTTAATGTAGTGAAGGCAATATATAAATGAGGCCTTGATATGGGTCCAAGTGACCTCATGTGCCCAAGGACAAACTCCAATCACCATTCAAAAAACAAAGAAAAAAAGAAGAAAGAAAAAAGGAAAAGAAAGAAAGGAAGGAAGGAAGGAAGGAAGGAAGGAAGCTAGACTACGTGAAGAACTCAGCTAAGCTATGTTGCTATGGGGCTTCTGCTAGAGAATTCTTTTGACACAGTTGATCCTGAGGCAGCCTAGTCTCTTGAAACATTCTCATCACTGCAGAATCTCATTTGGGACACATGGACATGCTACTTCTCCCATGCCATAGGGATGGAGTTTGTATTACTTCTTTGTTTTCTAAAAGGGAAACCCATTTGGAATCAGATGTGAGAGGGAATGTGGAATCACTGCCTAGAACAGGGAAGAGACTGGGGATGGAGACACAGTTGTATACAGATCAAGTGTTGTGTTACTCGCCTTAAACTTGGGCTGGGTGATTCTAAGAAGTATCTGGGATATAGAAGCTACACACCCACTTTAGGATTCACTGGGCACACCCAACTGGAGAGGAGGAGAAATGAGAAGTTCCTGAACATGGGTAAACTTAGTAAGAGGTCTTCTAGAGCTCAATTAATATTAATTAGGTCCTAGAGAGCCTTGTTTCAAAGAAATCCACATGGAGCCAGACTAGTTTTTAAAATGCTAAAAAGAAAAAGTCATCTCAGAAATTCAGGATTAACAAAGCTATTGCTGTGTTCTTTACTTTTTATTTTTCTCTGCTCTGGAAACAAGGAACCACTCCCTTGTCCTGGGAGAAGGAGCAAGTGTGATAATGACATTGAAGTAGTCATTTTCCATTCCACTTGAACAGAGCAGGAGCTCAGGGAGGGGGGCTATTTGGAAGATTCAAGGTGGGGCGTCAACCCTCTGGGCTTCAGTGCCTCCCTCTCTTTGGGGCTATCTGCAACCCATGTGGATGAAACCATGAGAATGTGAGGAGGGAGGACCAGAGTACTTTTCAGAGGGGATTTGTTGCTGAGATCAACAAAGTAGCATATGGATCCAGGATGCAATATGACCCTGGGAAAGAATTTTCAGGAGCCTCACAAAAGACAATACAAGCTAGTTGGAAAAGACTCTGGAATAAGAGCCAAGAGGTGTAGGTTCTAATCCCAGCACTGCCAGCAGGCAGCTGTGTGACCTCGGGGGGGAAATTACTTTACTTCTTTGTCTGTTTCCTGGCCTTAAGAAAGTGAAGAATTTGGAGCAGATGATGTGATCTTAAGCTTCTTTCCAGCTAGAAAATGCTATGATTCAATCTAGGCTAACACCAAGTCCATAAGGACACAAAGCAGTCATGCTAATGGCTATCCTTTCCAAAACAGTTAGGAGAAAAAAAAAATCTTTTCTCTCACTTTAATTCTAATTACCACTACTTACGAAGTTAGCTGTTCACCCGGCCCCCATATATACATTTCCCTTTTTGCCCCTATTTCTATTTCTGTGGGGAAGAAAAGTCAGGAGGTAGGAACAAACAACATGAAGTGTGTGCGTGGTGCGTGTGCGTGCGTGAGTGTGTGTGTGTGTGTGTGTGTGTGTGTGTGTGCGTGCGTGTGTGTGTATGTATAATAGAGAGTGAGACATGGGAAGCAGTGGCAAATAATTGCTGACCTTGTATACTCAACACAGTGGTTCTAAAGTGGTAAAACTGGATTAGGTAAAACAGGGAAAGAATAAGAGGAATGCATGAACTCAGTTTTGCAAAAAAAAAAAAATTACTTGAATATGAGCCAATTTGAAATGATATTATTGGAGACTTGAGTTTTGAGTGACACCAAGCCTTGCTACATGAAGTAACAAAAAACTAAATGTTTTCTTACATGTATACCTGCCTGTCTAAATGAACACTATTTGTAAAAGGTTTCCTTGTAATTAGTTCAAGGAAGAACAGAAAGGGCACTGCTGTCATAGAAGAATGTTCCAAGAACACGCTAAAGAAAATGGGGACTACTGAGAAGCCTAGGCATGAGGGACTTTGAATTTTCTCTGCCCCTACTCTTTCAGTACATCATTAAGCTGTCTGGATCTCTATGTTCTCATCTTCAATGAAGATGATACTACAAATGATTTCTGAAAGATTGGCATGCAGTGTGTTGGAGCATCTAGCCCAGAGGTTTCAAAAATAGACCTCCTACCATAATTTCTATCTGTATAATTTCTATCCATCCAGAATAACCAATTTGCCCCAATTAACTCAGATATTCTGGGAGGGCACTAAGAAAACACTGAGCTTCCAGAAAGAAATAAGGGGTAAATAAAATGGGCTTCTTAATCATTTCATGTGAGTATACACAAAAAGGAAGGGCAAGAGCAGAACCTCATCATTTCAGGTTCTTCAATGACCAGTTTCACCAGAAATCACAACTCCCATCATCTCACTTCTCCTGATCAAAACAAAAATGTTTCTTGTAATCTTGCAATTAAGGACATCGTAAAATTATCAAGGGGCCTCTAACTACCCTTCCCAACCTACTTCCCCCTGAACATCAACAATGCTATCAAGTTGCCATCAATGCACGTTGAGTTGTCCTGCAGTATTTCCTAATTATGAAGCAGCCTAGACACACACACACGCACGCACACACACACACACACACACACACACACACACACACACACACACACACACGAACCCCACACTCATTCTACTTAGAATGGTGGGACAACTACATATCATTCAGCAGCCAAACATCTTGGCTTTGAATGCTGCATCTTTCAAACTAACTGAACAATTGCAAAGAAATAAAAGACATATTCCTATCTATTAAAATCAAACACAGGCTTGGCATGCATGGCTTTCACCTAAATTTAGTTGTCTTGGCTATTATGGGCTATGATTACAGACAAAAATCAGTGTTTCAAAGACTGAGAGTTATTCCAAGTGATCAATCCTTAATAAAGAGAAATCCTTTCTAATGCTAAAGACAAGTGAAAGGTCTCTGCATCTTCAGTATGAAATATTAGGATTATAGATAAAAAAGGGTTACATAAAATATGCCATAACATTTCATTTAAAATATAATTAGAATGTCTGGTCCACGTTGAAATTATTACTGTAAGTGTAACTGTTAAAAAGGTATCAAAAGACTGATTCTATTGAATTGGCCTCTAGTCATTGTGTTTTCTCCCGGAGCTTTCTGTTTGGCAGTGAGAGCATGATTTCTAAACTACAGTATTCTGCTGCAATTTTTTTTTGGTAAATTTTCTGCTTGTGTTTTTTAGACAAATGAAAAAAATCACCAGTTTATAAAAAAGGAGCCTGCAGAGTTTTGCTCCTGAAATACAGACAAGTTTTTATAAAAAAGGATATGGTTTCTTGCTATAAAAAGCTACCAAAGGTGTCAGACCTGAAAAGAAATTCTCACAGTGTTTGTAGTGTTGGTTGTTTACAAGGCATTCAATAGAACAGAGCTAGATGGATACCATACTATTCATGTACTAACTTTGTATGTTAGAAAGCCTCCCGGAGGAATCATATATGTGACATCACTTACCCAAACTCATCATTTTTTATTCCAAATTTCCCCAATAGAGGGGTTGACCAGGAATCTACTGTGCTTTATAAATCCTACTGAAATTTGGGCATTTTTCACCCAATTCTGCCTCATCTCTTTCAGCTAGCCCTGTACTATACTATACTCCTAAGCACATGGTGTCACAATTTAAGTAGCTGGTGTTTCTCCTCCTTGACAGAAAGGATTAGTGCTACACAGAATACTGGGGGCTCAATTAAGAGCATAGAGTGAGGCCAAGGATCAGACTTGCCACCCTCCTGAGATCCTCCAGCATTTTGAAGGTACAGAGGCAAGGGACACTTAGGTTTTTCACTTTTAGATCTGCATATGAATGTTTCCCCCACACACAAACATTTGAAGTGATATGTATGTAAACAGCCTTCCACATAAGAAAGACTAGTATCAGAACAAATTTAGTGGGGAAAATACAAAGGCCCCTAAGCATTCAGTAGAAAGGTCATTCATAGGCTAGCACATTTTGTAGTTCTCAAAAGTCACTCAAAATGATGGTTATCAATCTATCTCTCATTATTGGTAATTGTGAATTAGTGGCCCAGAGGAGAAGTCACAAGAAAATAAACCCTACATACTACAAAGTGTTTTGAAAAATAACAACAACAACAGCGGTTAAGCACCAATAGCCTTGTTGGTCACTTGAGCGAACGAATTCTGCTATAATGATAGGTTTTTAGGTAGCCTCCCATCTTTCACATGGAATCGCCAAGTGAATCAGAGTCATCCAGGGACAGCGGCAGATACAAGTCCTGTAAGAAGATAAGACACCAAGTTAACTCTCCTGTACTTAGTACCTTGAGTTTGGAGGTCATTTTAATTATTTGAAATAGCATGTTTCTGATTTTTATTTTTTAAAAATTAATATATTCACAAGGAGCTTTAAAGGTGTATGTATGGAGAAGTAGTCCTGTATTATACAAATATGTTCCTTACTCAGTTTCCCCTAGAAGTAAGTATCTTGCAGATTGGTATGTTCTCATTTGATTGTGAGTGTACATGTGTGTGCCTAAGAATGACAATGATAAGGAAGAAATAAAAGAAGTGCAAACAACATGTATGAAATTGAACTAAAGCAAAGCAACAGACAGTACAATGAATCTGTAACTGGATTTACTTCACAGTGAAAACTGCTTATGGCCAAAAGCATCTTTGGACTGCAGACTCACAGAAGAATTGTGTAGTGGAGCTCTGAAATTTTAGTTCTCCAGAAGTATTATAACACTCTCAAAATCAACTTTTCCAGAGCTCTGCAAATGAATCAAAGGCTTATACTACAACAATAGCTTTTTTGTTTGCTTGTTTGTTTGTTTCAGGGCAAAAATGGCTGAGTTAAGTAAGACTACTAAGATTTTTGGTGTCCTGGCTTGCCCTGTTTTCATTTTCCCTCTGCCAAACCCCACAGAGTCTTTGAAAACCAGAGACCTCCAATATTAATCAAAACTACAGCCTAAGAGCCACTGGGCAATGCAGTTGTGTTGGGAGAACCCGCGATGCCTTAATTCCAAAGTTGACCTATGTAGAAGCCTTCTGGAAACTCCTTCTCACAGAGTTCCCCTTTATTTGATTTGATTCAGAAAACACTTGCCACAATCAGCATTTTCAGGAAACATTAACCAATACAATTGTTTAAAAATCATAACTTCATAGCCAGGCTCATTGTCATGCTTCATGATTTTAACCCCTTCACCAGGGAGGCAGAGGTAGGCAGATATTTGTGACTTTGAGGGCAGCCTGGACTTTACAGCAGATGCAGTGTATCCAGGGCTAAATTTTGATACCCTCTCTCAAAAATACTATATTTCCAGATTTCTGTAAAGTATGAATTTATCAAGGGGTAAAAGTTAGTCTTAAAACCATATAGGGAAAAGCAGTAAAAATTAGCAGTCCATGGGAAACTTCAAAACTCTTTAACATATATTCCTGGGAATATGTTTTATGTGTTATATATGAGTTGGTGACTGAGTGCACTCTCAGTAATAACACACAAGATTGTCCTAATCTGTAAGCCCCAGATGACTTTGGGGCACTGCACAAACAGCAAGTAGATGCTAATGTAGAGATGTCAACCACCTGATAAATTGTTGAAATCATGACCCAACATTCACAGACACCATCAACAACAAAGTCTTACTGGATCAAAATAGGTAATGAACTCAAGAAAATCCTTTTGAATCCAAATTTTTACTATAAGTAATAAGTGTGGGTATCCCCAATCAGAGTTCACTGCTAGCCTACTTGACGTACAACAAATATTAAAGATAGACTTTCAAGGAGCTATGATAATTCAGACCCTCATTAGAAAAAAAAAAAAACCAATAAGGCAAATTTGCAAATACATTCCAGGAACTCTATACACTAGATGTTGTAATTCTTTTCTTTTAATGTTGATTGATAAACAGAAAAGAACTATGTGACTTCCATAGATATATAGAGAAACAAATATCTATGGAAGTCACATAGTTCTTTTCTTGTATGAGAAGGACAACTAAATATACTTCCTTCATAGGTTTTATTAAATTCAGTGACTTTGTAGACTAGATTTGTATATTTCGGTCTGTTCTGTTCATATAACTTGTCTGTTATGTTATATCTGTTGATATACATGTCCCAGTTTCTCCACTCTCCTAGTCCCTCTGGTAACATATGCTCTGTTCTCCATCTCTGGATATTTGATTTTTTTCTTTAAAAAAAAATCCACACATAAGTGAGATCATGCAATAGTTTTCTTTCTGTGTCTGGTTTATTTCAAACTACAACTGTATGATCTGATAATTACAAAAATGTGTTGATGGACATTTTGTGTATAAAGACATAATTTGTATGTTTATAAGAGGCCAGAGAAAGGGAAAGGAATTGGTGCTACCCTGTAGCAAAACTTTTAGATGGAATTTAAATAAAGAGTGTATTAAGATGGAAATTAAACAATTGAATGAAGCCCAGTGCTTCACTAGGGTAAAAGTCTCCAAGTGGCCTTTATAGTATTCACAGGCTTTATGTATTTCCTGAGAAACTCAAGGAGTTCACTAACTTGCAATACCCATTGCATTCTAGTCTTTTGAAAACAAAGTGCAGTTATTTGGCTCATAGTTTGTAAGTTTACCCTCAATATCATAAAGGACTTACTTGTTGGACTTCTATTTCATGATTCTATTCATTATTCAATTTGAGGTATTGAATTTTTCAGTTAATGCAGTTAGGTTACATTTGGGTTGCCTACCTTAATTCCATCAGTTTCTGTTTCACAAATACTGACACAATGTTCTTAAGGGGTCTACCTTTACTTATACTTACATTTTCTGAAACCATTGACCCTTCCCTTTGCCATCAATAATTTTATTTTCCGTAATAACAATTTTGCTTTTAGATCAATATTTTTCTAACATTTATATTGCCATCATAGCTTTTAGTTACGTATTCTTTGTGTGTTAGAGCTGTATATATATTAATCCAACTTATCTACTGCTTTGTATCTTTTTATCTATATCTTCCTATTTCCTTCATAGCTTTTTTCCCCGTGATTCTTCTCTCAGCATAATTACATCTTTATTCTATATTGCTTCTGTTTTAGACAGCCTAAAGATGGGTTTTGCCTTAAAAAAAAACTATTCTGGCAATCACAAGCTTTTAATTTGAGCCCGTGACTAATCTACTAATATTTAATCTAATATTTAAAGTAATTACTGGTAAATAGGCATTATATCAGCTACCAGTCTCACTCTTTTCTGTCTTGTCTCTTGCTCAGTATTCAATTCTTGGTTTTGTGTTAAATGCATTTTGCTGGGCATTGTTGATTGTTTTTTAAACTATCTTTTATTTTTAAAATGTTATCTATTCTTATTATTATTTGCTCACTTGGTGTAAATAAATATACTAGATTATTGTTGCAGACTTTACCTCAAAAGAAACAAGGAGAGGCTAAGGGTAGAATTGTTAAAACTCTATTTGCAATTGCTGTGACTTAGAGTAAAGATTCAGGCCATGGACAGGACCCATAGGAATAAACCTAGGTATGAACTGCTTTTGTATCTCTATCAATTCACTTCATATTTAAAGCCTGAGGGTTGTAAAATAAGAACAATGTAATTACCTCATCATTCTGTTTTTGTTGATTGACATGTAGAAATACAGAAACACACTTATTGCTTAACAATACAAATAATTTGCACCTGAAATTCATTTGCTTAGTTCCTTGGAGCCCTACAGAACAAAATGTTTGTAACAAATACAGCTGTGCTGGCAATACTGTTGCATTAGAGAAAACAAAAAGTTGGTCTTCAGTCCAAGGAGCTTATAGGCCAAGTCAGGAAGGACATTGAGGAGACCTAGCTTTTGTTAGGTTTGCTGTTTTCCCAACTTATCCTGTGCTTTGTTTGTGGTATAGCATTGCTGTTACTGATGTTTTAAAGCCTGTGTGTCTGTTTATCTCACCAGCCTTTACAAAGCTTATTCAGCCTTCAGGATCCAAGTTAGACATCACCTCTGTGAATTCTTTGTTAATTTCCACCTTCCTTGGGACCCAATCAAATGCCCTTTCCACACTGTTTTGTGCTCTTCCTTATATTAGCCAAAACTACATATGTTCCAGTTGATTGTGCCTGTTACTCTATTCTTCAAACTATCTTTCTGATCACTGCTAGGATGGCAGAAGATATGTGCAAATAGAAGTAAGTGTATATGTAAATGATGTTAGCTATATGTTCAGGCACTATGTCTGAAACATTTTCCTTTCATTGCCACATCGCATAAAATTCTTCAAGTTGAGAACTGTGAGTGAAATCACTAATCTGACAATCATCTTAATGAAATCAAAGAGTTTTTCTATGTTTCTATATTTTTAAACATTTAAAATTGGGTATTAGCTCCAAAAGCAGTCTTAAATATTTGCTAAATCATGTTGAGGCTGCCATTAATCTCTTAACTTTTGCCCTCATCTGTACAAGGGAAGGCTATCTATCTGCCCTTTTTCTCTTTCACAGGGATATTTCAAGGATAAGTGAGAACATGGCTTGTGAAAGGTTAAAGCAGTATAGAAATGCAAACTGAAATGTTGTTCTCATTAACTACCTTAAAATGTGCTGTGTGTCCATATTGCAGCACTTGAGTATGAGGACTTTGGCTAACCTCTTTGCAGCTGCATTAAAGAGGATTCTCCATGAGCTGCCTAAGAGAAGCCAAGCATCTGATTACAGCTTAGAGCCCCAGAACAGCAATCAAAAGTTACCAAGGGGATGCTAGGACTTCAAGATTGTTTCCCATTGCATAGGAGGCAAGAGATTGCCTTGGCCACCTGCTTCCTGTCTCCACCATGACTCACACCTTTCAGATTCACTTGGACAGAAGTTCCGATGAGATCTGCTCTGGCCACCGCCCAGAGATTGCTGGTGCTAAGGCTCAGGTAGCAGGCAGGGTGAAAGGACAGATGCAAAGCTTGGTGCTGAGATTTGGAAGGGTTGAACCAAGATCACAACCAGCTTTTAGCTCAGTCTCCATTTTCGGCCATGTAAATGTGAGGCCATTGCTTCCTGATAAGATGCACAGAAAGGGATGTACATTTCATTTCTAGAATGTACCGTCCTGAAAGATAAAACACTCAGGAACCCTTCCAGATCAAAAAAATACTAAATGAACACTGCCAGATAAATGTAATACTTGATCCTAGATTAGATTCTGGACCAAAAAAATGTCACTGAGGCAATTGATAAATTTTGAATACACACTATAATGTTTTTGTCTTTGTGGAGTAAATCTCATGATGTTGAAAATTGTGCCCTGGTTGTAAACCATTTTTGTCCTTAGGAAATATGCATTTGGGTGTTTCAGTGTATAGGGCATGCTACGTTCAACTTCCTCTCAAATGACTCAAGGTAAATGGAGCAAAATAAAAATGACTGATGAATGTGCATAAAAATAATACAGGATCTTTATTATTACAATTCTTCTGTAAGTCTGAAGAGATAAAAATGTTTTTATAATAACATTATACCAAAATCTAAATGTATATTTAATTTGAAGGTTTGACTAGGAAGGTGTGGTATAATTTGTTGCCTTTGTTTGTTTTTCTATCTTAAGAAAAATTCATCTTAAGAATAGAATACACTGAGAACTGTGCAAAGAAGATAACAGCCCAGCTCTGACAATGCTGCCATTTAGGAGTTTTATCTAGTTCTTCAGTGTCTAAAATTGTTTACAGAATTGAGTGGAAAAATAAACAAGTCACACATGTCTACTAATTCAATCAGGAGAAACAAATTTGACAATGCCAAAACTCACCTGAATGATTTACAAAGAATGGGTCCTCAACCTAAATGAACTGGATATACATGTCAGTCTAAAGGCTGAATGATACAAGTGTGTAGAGGAAATGCTCAAGCTGCTTTCGACACTTTGGGAAAGCTTGATGGAAAGTGCTGGCATAGAGCACATTTCCCAGAAAGGAAAGGAGTTGCAGAAGGACATAAAGTGAAGGTGCACTAAGAAGCAATGTAGTCTAGGCAGATGTTCCTGACACTGAAATATCAGAGACAGGTTGTTACCATCTTGTCACATCTAGATTATCAACTTTTGCTACTTAGAAAATAACAAAAAAAAACTTGACTGTAATGTGATTTTCATCCAACTCACAGCCTCCCAGGAACACAGACTACAGAGACAGTTGAGTGTATTCTGAAATCCAATAGGTCAAGAAGGATAATCCAAAGGTTCTTGTGAGGAGCAATACAAAAAATAAAAGGGCTCATTAAAGGAAAGAAACAGGCATTATTAATAACAGAGCATGCAAAAGCCAAATTAATTAGGAAACTAAAACTGTGCTGTTACAAAAGAGAAAAAAAAAGATAATGGCAAGATTTATTGGATAGTGGTATGCCATGAATATTTTTAAAGTTACATTGTGTGTGTGTGTGTGTGTGTGTGTGTGTGTGTGTACATTTTCCTGTACCACATCACACATAGGGAGGCCAGAGGTCAACTTTTAGGAGTCATTTTTCTCCTGCCATGTGGGTTCTGGGGACTGAGCTGAAGTTGTCAGGCTTGGTAACAAGTGCCTTTACCCCTGAGGCATCATCTCTCTAGTCATGCTGTTAAGTATTTAACAATTAACTTTCTGTGGGGAAAATTATAATCTTATTTGCTGGTTTCTACGGTCCAAATAATCCTACTGTGACCAAGTTAAGACTAAGAGCATGATATCACTACACATATAGTTAAAAGTGAGGCATGTGCGTGCATGCATGCGTGTGTGTGATCAGTGGGTATTATGTGATTTGTATGTTTTCAGGGATAACCATTTGGTATTGGGTAACCAATTAGTGTGCTCTTCCCTGAATAATACTCTTGCTCTCAGCAATCCTTACTTGCCTGTAGTTCTTTTCGTAGGGTTGAGGCCTCATGAGCTCTCTCATTTCCATATTTTCTTTAAAAAATTCAACTCAAAAGCTAGTGTAAACTGACTCTAGCATACCACTAGTGGTGACCTGCATACTAGTTCTGTTGCTAATTCTGTTGCACTAGTAAGGCATCTGGATTAGTTTCTATTTCCTTGTCTATAATAGTCTTATTGAAGTAACTCAATAAAATATTTCCATCTACAAAATCTCCCATTCAGATCATTCTATGTTGGAGTCAAATATATGGTTAAGACATTGATTTCTTGCATCTTACACAAAAGCTTCAGGGCCAAAATCTCAACATAACTTGCTTTCCAGTGTTATAATTAGAGGGAAAAAACACATAACTTGCTTTCCAGTGTTATAATTAAAGGGAAAAAACACATCCATACTATCTAAGGTATAAGAAATTTAAAGCAGTGAACACACCAGATTCTCTACATAAGGCTGATTTCTGGGAAGGAATACGCTTGGAAACAGATGCTATGGATTTGCTAGGGATTTTTTTATGTGCTATTTATTGAATCTAGAGTTTTGTATCCTTTATGCATACACTGCACAAAACTCTCCTTAGTAATGAAGAATGCACACAACAAAACTAGGGTCCATTAGTTCATTGATGTCCAGCAAATCTGAAGAGAGTAACTAGTCACAACCTTTAAAAGAATTGTAAAGTTTATTTGTATCTGAGCATCACATGTGTGCAGTACTTGTTCAGGCTAGAAGAAGGCATCAGATCCTCCAGAATTAGAATTCGATGTGAGTCACATGGTATGGGTGCTCAGAACAGAACCTAGTCCTCTGGAAGGAGAGTACAACTCTTACCTACTGAGCCATCTCTCCAGTTCCAACTCAATGCAAGTTTTAACTACTATATTTATATTACATCCATTGACGGGTGCCTAATGATGTAAGGCACCCTCAGTACTTCCTTTGTCATGTGTTTGAATTGGTGTGGCAAATGCTTGTGGTTTTCTTTCTCTCATTACTTCAGAATAAATATTGGAGACCTTAGTACTACACTTTGGGTGAAATGCTAAAATGGAAAAAAAAATGATAAAGTCAAAGGTTAGAGAAATCAATAAACCTAACTCAAGGCTTGTTCCCTGCTGGAATTCTTGGGACATCAACCTAATGGAGTCAACAAAGGTGAGTTCTAGTTTCAAAAAGAAATGTGCTGTTGAAGCACAATGGGTGAGCAAACCTCCATGCAGCCTTTCAAGAAACTGAGTGCAAAGGGGTTTAGTAAGGTATAAGAGACATAATACCTTGTGCTTCCGCAGGCTTCCTGGACTAGTGGGTGTAGAGATAGGAGACTGCTTCGATTTAGGTGTTGACAGCTGGCTGCTGGATGTTCCATTTGCTAACCCAAGGCAAGAAAAAGGGAAAGAATGAAAATGAACAGCATCAAAAAGAGCAAGTTCTTTCTCCTTTTAAGACACTAAGAACATTCAAACAAGTCAACCAAAGGATTTGTTAGAATCAAACCCAAGGGAAAAGAAACACATTCTTCAAAGGCCCAAGAACTGCCATCCTCACTTAATGTTGTCTGGCACAGTGCAAGGTATCCATACCCTCACCCTGTGTTGCTTCACAGTAACGCTGATTTATTTCTTTCCAAACCTTTTTCATTTTAATCACCAAGTTTTATCCTCACATCTCCCGGGGCAGATTGAAAAAGCTTTCTTTTGCTTTAATTTTGGAAAACAAAGAAAGATAAGATACAGAGAAGGCATGTGCCTTACACTAAGGGAAAGAAATATGAGCACTTTGGCCTAGTATATATCCCTTTTGGAGTCAGTTGAATGAGACTGATGTATGACAGACCCACTATGAACCTCCACCTTTTCTTATTCACCTCCTCTTCCTTTACTACCATTCCCTGGGTAAAAACACAGAAGGAAAGAAACAGAAAGAAGGAAAGAACAGGAAGAGAAAGAAATGAAGAAAGGAAGGAAGAAAGAAAGTCAGAAAGAAGGAAATAAATTGAATGAGAAGCACAAAGTAAATTTTAAAGAAGAGCTCAAATGAACAAAAATGGAGCAGAAGATAGAATAAAAATAGTGAAAGATCTGGAATGGAGACGAAAAAGAAAGGGAGATTAGAATTAAAACATAAGACTAGAGCAATATGCATAGAGACATGGAATAATTCTAGGTAAATGCAAACAACATCAAGGTATAGCCCAAATGTGTCTCAAGTCAAGCACATGATGGAAATGAGATGAGTTTTTTTTTACATCTCTGTGTTCCACTGCAATTTCAAGCTGTTTTCAATCCCCCTGCTAATGAGCACTTTTAATATGAAAAAACAAAGGTGTCATATCAAAATGTGATGAATAAATGGTTTTCCATGACATGTTCTGCTTTCTCATGCTGAAATATTTTTGATCACAGGATCTGCTAGAAAGATATTCTGAAGTATGCTATTAAAACAGAGGGGAGTGGGGCAGAGGGAGAGAACACTTGAGTGTAAAGGTAGTCTAATAAATTGCACTTAGTCCCAAAGATACTCTTTGAACTTCTGTATCATGAATATTCCCTGAGTATATACCTCCTCTCCATCACTTATGATGTTTCCCTAGTTTTGAAAACACGCCCATCCTTCCATGGAAAGGCTACCATAACTGTCCTTCCCGGATAGTGAGATCAACAACTAACTTATCCACCATTATGGAGCCCTCATCTAATACCTGTTGGAAACAGAAGCAAACACTCATACATAAACACTGAGTCGAACTAGAACCCAGATGCAGATGGAGAAGACAAGACCAGGCTGCAGAAACACATAGAGACTGATGGGAGATGTCATTCTGTATATGTTTCTCATACTGGTTAATGAATAAAGCACTGTTGGCCAATAGGAAAGCAAGATAGGCGGGACTAGGAGATGAGGAGGAAAGAGGAAGTAGTAAGTAAGGAGTCAGCATGGAGAGATCAGGGAGACCAGATGCCTGCCCCACTCCCCAGTAGGTGAAACCACGTGGAAATACATAGAAATGGGTTAATACTTAAGGCAGAGCTAGCCGATAAGAAACTAGTACCTGGCCAACAGAATTGTATCTAATACAGAGTCTCTGTGTGTTATTTGGGGCTGGCGGCACAGTGGCAGGACAAGACCAGGCAGCGGGCGAAAAAACCTTACTCCTTACAAGAAACAGCTGACCTGAACAAGGAGGAGCTAACGGGCCCCCAGACTCATAGCTGGGAATCCAGCATGGAACTGACTCAGGCCCCACTGAATATGGGTCTCAGCCAGAAGGACTCAGCAATCTAAGGGACCTCAGACAGTGGAACCAAGATGTATCCCTGGTGCACAAAAGGACCTTGCTAACACATCCCCCATGGAGGGATAACTGCCTTAACCTAGAGACAGGAGAGAAGCCCTAGTCCCTACTTCAAATGACCTGTCTAATCTACATGACCCCAACTGGATGGCATTGCCCTACATGTGGAATTGGGGTGGGGGGATGGGAGGGGAGGGTGGTCAGGTTGCATGTGAGAGGCCAGAGAGGGTAAAAGGGAGGGAGAGAGGGAGGGAGAGAGAGGGAACTGGGATCGACATGTAAAATAATAAATTAAATTTAAAAAAAGAAAGAAAGAAAAGAAAACACCCCCATCAATGGAAGAAGTAGAAATACCAATGCTGCACCGTTGTGGTAGTTGCTCAGATTATCCATGTTCAAATGAACTGAAAATTAACCACTTGGGAACCCACTGACTGACTTTACTCAGTTGTCTGTCATTTAATCCTTTAGAAGCTTTCCTCCCTGCCATTCATACCATTAGCCAATAACCATGGACCACCACCTATGAGACAAGGTTTTGAAAAATAAATACATTGCTTCCTGGGGGGGAGGAAAGCAAGGGTTAAGTAAAGTAAGTAGGTGGATAAAGGCCTGCAAAAGATTTTCTTGAGACCAAAGGACAGAATTTGAAATAAGGGAACTTGGAAATAAACAAGAAACAAGACATGAATATTTGGAAAATTGAATCTGGACTACATAAAAGTCCAGAGCCTGAAAGTAGACTTGTGGCTGCTGCCAGAGCCTGGAAGAGGGAAGAAGTGCAGGAAAGTGCTATGCTTTTGCTAATGATTGGGGGCTTTGTTTTGGAGTCACAGCTATTTTAATGGTGACAAACTCTGCAGCTAACTAAAATCCAGTGTGTTTAAGTTAGGGCATATCAATAAAGCTATGTTTAAGAAAATAAATTAAAAGTAGCTAAGTAAAGAGAGGGCAACGTGTATTTTAGGCATTAGAATTACACCAGAAGGCAAGGGGATGTGAAAGGATACAGTGTGTTTCCCAAATGAAAGTAGCTCACAATAGCTCAAGGGTAGAGTAACAGAAGGAATGTTCAAACAAATACAAGTGAAGACTAAGGATGTGAGCCAGATTTTGGTGGGTCTTTTCTGTGATCCAATAAGACATTTAGAGTGGATCTAGGGCAGTGGAATAGGCCTATAATCTCAGCACTTGAGAGACTAATGCAGGAAGATTGCAAATTTAAGACCAACGCAGGCACCTTAGCAGCACCTCAGGACTTTTCCAACAGTTTAAAGGCTGGGGAAGTAACTCAGCAGGTTACTTCCTAGGTTTATTTTCTAGTTTATAACATAAACGTTTAGGCTTGATCATTGAAGGAAAGTCTCAGGAGCATTTTAAGCTGAAATGTATACAAGCAAATTTAAATTTAAAACTTATCCCAGCCTCTGAAATGAGAGTAGGATGGATAGGATGGCTTCAGAGTAGAGACAATCAGTGTTTATAGCTCCAACTAAGGCAATGTGGAAGGAAAAAATGGAACCTTTGTGTAGATAGAGTTTTAGATGTTACACAAGTATAGAGGAGGGAAGAAGAGGAGCAGGGAGAAGAACATGAGGGATCAGCATGCCTCAGCATTTATCAACTGACTACAGCTATGACTATTCATGTTCTTTAACTTCCAGATATTCTTGCCTGTGTCGTCAGAAACTCTATTCAACCAACAACTTCAGAGGTGGTACATACATATACACTCCATATATGCTTTTCTCTACATCCTCTGCATACATTTAGATGCTTATATAAAGCACTTATATACTGTCTCCATATCCCTATCACACTGGATCAATCTTACATCATCCATAAATAAAGGCCTTTATCATTGACCTTCAACAAGCTTGAACAACAGGTTTTCATAATTTAACTGTCATGTACTACAGTGTTGAAGAACTGAAGATATTCTCCCATGCTTTCTCAGAATTTGGTGATGGGAAAAATTGGAAGATGGACATAGAGAAATGAGAAACTTGTAGATGTGAATCAGCAAACGGAGGGAACCCCTACACTTAAATCATAGATCAAAACGTATTTATATACACATTTTGTCTTTAGTCTGTGAGAAAAACTTTGAAATGATACAATTTGGTATGGAATATAGAGCAAATTCTTACAAATACAAATTAAAATAAGAAGCAGGATGTGATGTAGATGGGGGTCTGATGAATTTTTTGTGTGTTTTTGGACTAGCAAATCCTAAAGAATAGTGATTCTCAACCTTTGGGCCGTGACCCATTCACAAGGATAGCATATTAGATATCCTTCAGATCAGATATTTACATTGCAATTCATAACAGTGGCAGAATGACAGTTGTGAAGTAGCAAAGAAATAATTTTATGGTTGAGGGTCACCACAACATGAGGAATTGTATTAAAGGGTCCCAGCATTAGGAAGATTGGGAACCACTGGTTTATAACATGGCGTGTTGAGAACTACTGTCACAGAAAGACTATGTTGTCTTTCATCTTGAGAATGAATGGAGGTTGTACCACTGACGAATAGCCTTCCTTTTCCCTTACTATCACCTTTCCTTCTCTGATAATTGGGGAACACCCTGGGAGTTCCCATCTGCCTCTTGTCTTTTCTGTTCCTCCTCAGAATAACAAAATAGTCTCACTGCTCTCAGCTTTATGTGTAGACTTCATCCTCTCATTTCTTCTTTTAGTAGAATTCCTTTTTCCTCTTTGCAATGGTATATGCCACACTCATTTCAACCTCTCTGGCTACCTTATCGCTATTTTCAAAAAATATGATTATTCATTTACTGGGTGACAGCACTGCCAACCCTCTCCCTGATTCATATACACATGCACCATGTAGAGGAAATAGAAACAAGATTTGGATGCACAGATTTCTGATTCCAAAGCCTGTGTATACTCTTTTCTCTTTGTTTTCAACATTTTTGTTTGTTCTTTTGTTTTTCGAGATAGTCTTTCTCTGTATGATCCCAGCTGTCCTGCAACTCTCTTTGTAGACCAGGCTGCCCTTGAATTCACAGAGATCTACCTCCTTGAGTGCTGAGATTAAAGGTGTGCCCCACCACCCCCGGCTGTTTTCAACTTTTGTGACATAGGCCTTTACTTTTTTAAACAAATGCTCCTGGGATTTCTTCTTCTGACAGTTCCCCCCCCCCAACAGGGACTAGGGGAAATAGAGAAAGGGATAGCAGAGAAAAAGGAAGGGCCAAGAAGAAAGTAGGAGCAGCAACAAAAGCTGGGGCTCACCTTCAAGAAAACATCTAACCTGTCTGATCTGGTTCAGGTTAGAAAGCAGTTATAATGCATGAGCTTTTCTTCAATGAAGCAAACCAGCTGGGCACATACAAAATGTCACAAAACAATAGCGCACAGGAGAGCCAGCATGGCATAACTCCCCTCCTGTATCTGTGCTCTGTCTGCCAACTCTCTTAGCTGGCACTCTTCAACTGTGCAGCACAATCGCCAAGCTCAACCCCACATGGTCTTGTCTCACAGGATTTTGAGGGTGGTTAGGTCTGTCCTTGGCCCTGCACTCATCTTTACTTTCTTGGACCCATCAATATTTCCTTTCTAAATGGAACAGGGCATGCCCAAACAGGATGGCTGGTTAGGTTAATAGGCTGACCTACCTGGATTTACAAGGATTTAAACACTACAATAAAATGTGTTTGTGTATGTGAAGTGGGAGTTAGGGTGCTAGTTTTCAAAGAACAATAGAAAAGTCAGCTTTCAAGTATGAGTAGTCATAAAAAGAGTGAACAGCAGAGTTCATGCTTAGGTTCTAGGTTGTATGTTCCCCTGTCTGGAGGATACACACATCCCTAAAGACTAAGACATATGTAACTGCACATAAGATGTATCTAAGTGGTCCCAAGTGAGGTAATTAAAGAGTTGTCTAGGTAGTGAGTAATACAAGGTGTATACACTTTCTTAGTTCAAGTTCACTTGACCAGGATGGAACAAAAAAGAAAGGGTATCTTGGCATGTGTTTATTTGATGAGTAGACACCAAACTGACTTTAGTGCTCATTCATTTCATGATGATCCACTCTACCATGATTGGAATACTGGAATACTGACACTGAGACACATTCAAAATCAAGCCTATTGGTTTTTATATGATGTTTATTCTGAAACCAAAAAACTAATTAACTCCAGAGGCCTCCTCCCCTATTAATAGTTGTTGCTCTATGGTTATTTTTTAAAACATTTGTAATATGTGATCTCACATGGTTCCTCTCATTACTAAAATCTCTTTAATCAACAAAGGTACAGATGAGAAGATTTGCCTTGTTCACAGTATGTAATTCATCTCCTTTATGGATGATGGATTCAGGATTGGATCACAGAATCCATTTCACAATCTCCCACTGTGATCCTTGTGTGATTTATTCTCAACCTTATTTTTGTCATCTCTTTAATGCCTTACAGAGGGATATCTCAACCCACAATTCAGTCAGTTTCACATTTTCTCATATTGAGATGCTCTAACATTTCTTTCATTATGGAATAAATATTGCCTGCTTCCTCCATATTCACATAGATTCTTTTTCTGGAAGGCTATCCAAGTGAAGCCAGGGCAGTTCAGACTCACTTCAGAGCAAAGCCAAATGACAGACCTATGGTTGTCACACATCCATTCCAAAGTGCCCTTGGCTGCAGTGTCTGGATCACTTTGGTTAATTGTTTCTGCTAAATAGAAATGTTTTTGTTCCTCTTCCCAGACTCATCCATCAAGGAAGCAAGAACTGAGAGCCCAGAAACAGTTCTTCAGGGATTTGTTCATTGGGCAGTTTCTCAAGCCAAATTCAATCATAGAATGTGAGATACTGTAGATTTACAAGATGAAATGTGGATTTGAAATCTATTTCCTACTGTGTTTTGGAAAATGCAGTGTTGTGAATTCTTTAAACAAAATGGAGAAGAGTTTCCTCTGTCGGAAAACACCTTTATTTACCCAACCTTGTGGGTGGAACCCAGGGCTTCACTTATACTAGGCAAGTGCCCACCACTGACTTATAACTGTGGTTAATATTGCAATATTTTAATACAAATGAGTTTTCCTCAAGAAGGTGAAAACGTGAGAGAGTTTTTGTCTTCATACAGCCCTGCCAAGAATATCAGTTCACCTTGGAGTGACTTTAGAGGAATTAGTAGAATCTATTCAGAGCAGACCATTAGAAACAAAGGCAGCTACTTACCTGCAACACTGTGTTCAATTCAGCACAAGATAATGACCCAGAAACCACCCCAATACCTCTTGGCCTTCCCACACCCTTCACCTGGAGGTGGGCCAGGGAGAAGGACACTAAGAAGCAAGGACCATCGAAAAGAAATCTTTGTGATCACCACACTGAAAATCCCATACCCAGCCTCCAATGCCTGCTGAGAAGATTTCTGGGTTCTGGCTCTTGAATACTAAATAGTTGTACAACATTGGAAAGACCTTGAGAATCTGAACTGCTCCTGAGTTTCTCAATGTTAAAGAAAAACAACCTATATAATTATCCTTTTGTAACTTAATTCATAGTGCTATTCTGATGGACAACAGAGATGATTAAAATGTTTTGGCAAAATAAGGCATAATTGTATTACTTAATAAATAGTCATTCGTCACATTAAAATGTGGCTAATCAGATTTCAGACGTAGGTATTACGTATAAAATTCAGAGCAATTTCAAAGAAGGTAAGCATCTCAATAGTCTCTTATATTGGTCACACACTGGAATGGTTACTGTGCTTACTTTGGCAGCACATATACTAAAACTGAAATGATTACCTTTGAATGGATTAGTAACTAAAATCTATATTAATTGTTTGCTCTTAATTTTAAATGTAACCACTAAATATTTAAACAATATGCATGTGATGATGTCATATGAAACTCATTATTTTGTGCAATTAATAATACAACCTTTGAAACACATGTAGCATACAAAGCTTGCAATATGATCCATATTAGTTCTATTTCATGAAGGTCAGAACACTCAGGGAAGAATGCTTAGGTTTAACTAAGAACAGTTCACAGATTATAGTTCTTTCACAAAATCTTGTTGTTTGTGTCCCTTGGACCAAGAGTTAAGGAGATAGTTACACGTTAAAAAGTCATGGTGGTAGTACATGTTCCTATAATATTAGCACTGAAGAGGCATAGATAGACAATTCCTGCCACATGCAGAACATCTAGCCTAATCAGCAAAGCCCCAAATTCCAGTGAGAGATCTGTCTCAAAAACCAAGGTAGGCAGTTCATGGGGAACATATATGTTTGTCTCCAAACAAGATTTTTTATGTCTCTGAAATGATGGAATTGGTCTTCATGGGGATACTGGTGATCTTAAGGAAGTCTTTTATGTCATGCAGAGGGCATCAGCTTCTACAAATGAAGTTAACATGAACAATAGAAAAAGAACACTCACCGTCTTGGTCGTTACCTGAGTCAGCTGGAGACTTGCTGCGACGCATTGGGCCTGGACTCTTGGCTGATGTCTTTTGAGGTGTTGGGGAAGCTTTTGGGCCAGCTGTGGCAGACGGATTCCCTTTCATGACTCTGCATTCTGGAGACAAAGGATACAAGCAGCTTAAGGGAAGGTAGAACTGAGAATCTCAGCACACTACCAGCATCTCAAGTGGCTCAGAATTACAAGGTATTCCTAATTTTTTTGTAGGAATTATGGCTATGGTAAGGAAGGCATAGGAGATATTTTCAAAAGTCTCTTGGAATAAACCAAGTATTTAAGTTCCTCAATTCTAGAGTAAGAACAGATATTGTAAAGCGAGTCATCTAGATCATGTGTCAGCTTGATCATCTGAAATTGACCAAGCCATACTTGAAAATAGGATCTGTGGAATATTTGCATTTATTTTATTAGAATACAGGTAACATACCTCAGCTATCAAGGCTGCATAAATGCAGAGTCCCTGAGTAAACTCCTACTCGTTGTCTATTATTATTACACATTGTGATAGGTATGTTCATAACATCATGCCATTCCATTTCAAAAACACCATTACTACTGCTATACTGAATTTTGTTTGCTCCAATTTTTATTAGGGTTGATGAACTTCAGTGATCATTGTCAAGAGCCACAGATGAATAGAGAATAAGAAATTGGATACAGAAGCAAACACCCACAACTAAACACTGAGCCAAACTAGAATCCAGATGCAGAGAGGGAGGACAAGACCACACTGTAGAAACACATAGAGATAGCTGACCTGAACAAAGAGGAGCTAATGGCCCCCAGACTGATAGCTGGGAATCCAGCATGGGACTGACTCAGACCCCCTGAATATGGGTCTCAGCTAGAAGGCCTGAGCAGTCTAAGGGACCTCAGACAGTGGACTATACTACATACCAACACGCCAGAGCAGAATGACTAGAAAAAATTGTTTATGTATAGTTCTTTCTTGATGGTGCAGGTTAGTTCACATTCTACAGTATATAGTTCAAGAAATGTGGTCATTATTGGGGCAGATGACAAGTTTCATCTAGTATGAAGTCTTCACTTCTGGGAGATCCAGTTGACCTTTCCCTTAGTGTGTCATGCATTCAAACACAAAAGAGAAATACTAGCAATATCAAGCCTTGAGTTACTGATTTTGAATATTCTCCAGGTCACATAAGTTCATGAAAACCCTAAGGGATGAAAAGAAGCAGAACAAAAATGAAACAAGTCCAATGATGGTGTTTACCGTTCTCATCCAAAGAAAAATCGTCTTGAGCATAGCGGAACTTTTCAGGACCACAAGCAATGAACACATCATCATCACCAAAGAAATCATGGAGACAGGTTACCTATGGTGAAAGCAGAACTATTGGGTTAGTGTCTGATGTCCTTATAGCAATAACTTCACATTGTGTTAACAAGGTCCACAACTTCACACCTAGGCCATCATCACTAACAATCAGGGATTTTTCACTCTTTCTCACAAAATACCTACCATGTTCATAGTCTGCACTATGATCCCTAGTGAGTAAACATAAATGCATCATTGCCTTTCCATGTTATAAATATACTCACCTTGTCTCCATGTCATCAAGACTAAGGTTGAGATGATGCCACAAATGGAATGGTTCCTTCTGAAGAAAAGTCACCTAACACAGGTCCCAACAAATGGTACCTCTTCTAGGACCTCAAAAGTAAAATACTCATGGTCTAGCCAAACTTTAGGTCTAGATAAAGGCAGTTGAGACAGATTGTCTGCAGTTTCTTATGTATAGACCTTGTAGCTGTCCCAAAGTTGGGAATTCTTCTCTTCATATTCATGTGCTCTAAAGGTAGACATTTTTTTAAATTTCTTCAGTCTTACAAAGACCGAACTCTTGGTTTTAAAAAAAATTACTCAGAGTTTCGTTCCACACTGAGAAACTAACAGGAGATCTACCGCTGACCACTTTAAATCTCATCATGGGCAATGGGTCCAATAAAGCTATGTGCCCAGGACCCTTCTTGCCTTTGAATGTGATACTTCTTTATAGTGGAGACAGTCTTCCAGCTCTCTTCCAAAATTAGGATCCCTGGGAAAGTAGCCTGATCCCTTTAGTCTCCCCACTTCTCAGCTTTCCTAATTACATCTGATAATTAGTCCAGCACATCAGGCAAACCCCAGGAGGAACCATGGAGTCAAAAACATGCTTTTCTGACTTCTTGGATTGTAAATGTTCAAAGCCTCTAATTGTTCTAGAATCTCATTCAAGCTGCCAGCAATATCTTTCTACAGGCACAGATCTCGCAAACTAACAACAGCTTGCTGTGTGCAGAAAGCAGTACATTACAATTGAAAAAAATGTTTATATTAATAACATCATCCCCCCACTCAAGATCTTTTCAATCTGTTTCCCCAGCCAGGATGATTGCAAGCCTTACACAAAGAGGGAAATGCTTAAAGATTACACCTTATTGTCTAAGCCTTCCAACCATCTATGAAATGCCAAGGGGAGGAAGGGAGACTTGCAGGACTGCCAGAGTCATTCCTATTAAGCTTCTTCCTAGTTCTGAACCTCAGCCTCACCAAATGCACCCAAGCCCTTTTTCCAGTCAGCTTGTCTAGTCTTCATTGACTTACTACACAGTCATGTAATGGCAATCTGAGCTTTTACTGATTGTGTCCTTACTCTGAGATAGGACCTAGACTTGTCTGACTACTTCTAAAACTGTTATCTCCAATCAGACTCAAAAAAGCTATTGTATTTACTACTTTAGAGATAAGAAGTCTGAACATCAGAAATAAGTAAATTACCCAGCTTTTAAAAAAATCAGTAAATCTAAGCAAACTTCTAATTTAATGTTCCCTCTACCATCCAGTAAAAAGAACACTTATATAGATCTTGGGAGCTGACAAGAACAAGAGTCACAGATATCACACCACAGAACTCACACTCTGATGGAGTGACACACATTGAAACAAAGCACATTTCAACTTAGCTTCAAGGATGAGAGAACCTATATGTCTCATGGAAGCTATTGATTAACAATCATATCCAAGTGACCTAGTCTCTGGTTGACAAGGTTAGTTCAAGGGGCATTCTGCATGTGGTCTGGAATTAACTTCCAATAAAAGAGCTTAGCTACGTGCTTTGAGCTCTACTCCAGATCTCCTAACAATGTCTTGGACACTGAGTCAATACAATCTGGAACTTTTAACTTTTAGAAACTGGCTGGGTCTGCATTGTTTTTGTTTTTGTTTTGTTTTACTGAGACTACACTTCACCCCACTACCTGCCTTCATTTTTGCTCGTGAATGAGGAGTGTCTTCACTCTTGGGCTAGCTTGACTATCTCTAGCAATTAGTAATTTATTTCAAGACCTGTCTGTGTTTTGTGGACATTTACCTTATCCCCACTGGACCACAGTTCAGGTTTGAAACTCCCTCTGAATTTCATTGTGAATCCTGATAAAGAGTTTATGGTCTAATAAGAATTTGGCCTAGCAGTGGAGCCAGGATGTATCCCTGGTGCACAAAAGGACCTTGCAAACACATCTCCCATGGAAGGATAACTGCCTTAACCTAGAGACGGGAGAGAAGCCCTAGTCCCTACTTCACATGACCTGTCAGATCTACATGACCCCAACTGGATCACTTCCCCTACATATGGAATTGGGGTGAGGGGATGGGAGGGGAGGGTGGTTAGGGTGCATGTGAGAGGGCAGAGAGGGAGGGAGGGAGGGAGAGGGAACTGGGACCGACATTTAAAATAATAAATTAAATAAAAAAATTTCTGCATCTTCTTAGAATCCCCCATGACAGCGCCCCTTACCAGCAGGAAGTAGTTTGGAAAGAACGACGCCCAAACTCCCAAATATTGTCTATAAATGTTTGTTTTCATTTAAATGGACTTGGTTATATAAAAGAAAGAAAGGAAGGAAGGAAGGAAGGAAGGAAGGAAGGAAGGAAGGAAGGAAGAAAGAATTTGGCCTAGGCCAGTCATCTTAGAGTGTATACAAAGAAGAGAGGAAGGAGAAATACTCAGAGGACTTTTAATGGGTATAAAAAGAAAAGAAATCTACTGTTGATGGGAACAGATATGACCATTGAGAGACTTTGAAAAGTAACTAAAGCAAAAATTTAAGAACAAAAATGGAGAACCGTCTATAGATTCAGACATTGTTTTTCACACAGATATTGTAATTGTTTTAAAAAAAACATTATTTAATGGATGCTTTCTTTTTTATCTCAGTCAAATGCCATGATAACTTATTCTAGGATAAGAACACAGTACAGATTGTTAGAGTACTTGCAGTTACAACTAATCCTCTGCCAAGCCCAAGTAGCTCCTCCTCCTCTAAGGCTTAGCAAAAAGATTTTGGCTAGCCCTCCCTTTGGGGATCTTATAAGAAAGCCAATGTTCCCTATGCTTTTGACAAACTCACAATGGTGTTCTGGCTTCAAACACATTCATGTTGCAATCCAGCTGTTCAGCATCATGTTTCTTATGTGAACCTGCTCCCTATTTTACTGGCTTCAAAATGTAGACAAACACATCTTGTGTGTGTGGATACCCAGATTTTCCAAATACTTTCAATGCTGAGACATGCAGCCCCCATCTTCGTTATGGGATGAGAAAATAGAATGTTTTCTATCTTTAAAAAATGAGGATCTCAAGGCACAAAAAATCAAAGCTTCCCAGGGTTTCACAGTTGGCTCATGAAAGAGTTGGGACCAATTCTCAGGAGTCCTGCTTCAGTTCAGAACAAAATAATTAAATTGCCTGAGAGAACATGATGCTCTATACCTCTAGGCAGGAGACTAGAGAGTCCAATATACATTCTACTGTCATTTTGAAAACTGAAGTTTCGTTGTTAACCATATTTTTAATCCATGGAATAGAAAAACTTTTCTCTTTAGTGAAAACTGGGTACATAATGGAAAACAGGGACAAGGAGAATGAAGAATTTTAAGAAGCAGAGAAAGAAGGAAAGAAGAAAAGAACAGGATTCAAAATTTGTATGGTGACAATGTGACACAAAGTCCACCTTGGCTCACACTTCAAATGCATAATTTTCTAATTAGCTTTCTTGAAGCAGTCTTTTTAGAATAGAGTGACAACAAATGTGGTAACAGACTACTCACTGCAGTATCAGAGCATCCCCAAGAATAAAGGTCTTGCTGACATCAGCTCAAGTATGAATCATACTTAACCATTAAAGCAGACTAGAGAATACAGAGGCATGACACCCATCTTTATAATTAATCAACTACCAGCACAAAATCAATAAAAATTAACTCACATTAATACTGAATTATTACCTCAATGCTCTTCATAAAAAAGCCAAAACCAAACCAAACAAACAAAAAGCATGTGTAGGGTGAAGAACATCAGCTTCGTTGTATATTAGCATGAACCATATATTTTGTGGATGGCTCCGTGTCTTAAATGTCAAAGGACAAGTAGAGGCAACAGATCACTGTGTGCAAGCACATTGAGTCTATTAGCTGCAAATGGAAAATTCACCATGACTTGATTAGATTCTCCATTCACATATTACAGATAGTGGCTGTTTTTGCATGTGTCTGCTGCTACCATATTCTATGATTCATTTATCTAGTTCTTCAGAAAGAATTGCTCTTCAGTAATATTTATAAATCTGTGAGAGTCACTTCTGACATGTGCAATATTTTTAGTGAAAGCTCAACTCCCCCATACTGGTCATTAAACACTTTCTACAAAGGAACTATGTGAGAAATAAAAAAAAAATGAACAATAAAAGGCCCCTGCTTTCACAACTGACAGTGTAATAAGCATGTGTGAACTACACAAATAATTAGAATACAATGCAGGCCATTGTTAGCACTGTGTGGAGGCGCAAAGAGCATGAAGAATCTCGGCAGACAAAGAAAACAATAAAAAATAAAGATGATCTTGGCTTCACACAGTCATTTACACACATGACATGAAAGTAGAAGTGAGACAGTCTGGAAGAAAGAGTGGGACTAGTAGGGGGCTAGTGAAGACAAACATAGTCAAAGCATGATAATCCTGAATAAAACGTGTGTATAAAACCCATTAATGTCAATAAAAAATGTTTTATAAAGAGAACTGAGGAAGACTTCACAGGAAAGACAACTCACAAACTGAGTTGGGAAACAGAGATGGGATATAGGTTAATAGAAATGGTGTAATCTGGGCAAAGGTAGCTGTGTGAACAAAGGGTGAGAGGCAGGAGCATGCCATTCTCTTAACAGTGTTAGAAAAACCGAGCTACGTCTTAGTAGCTATGGTAACTGGTTTTACCCAACCCAAAAACACTGCACAGTACAGTCACCCAAATCCATATGCTAACCTGATGCACAGAC